CACACACACCACCCCCAACCCCTCGGCACACACCCGGTGTCATGACGCTCCCTTGAGGTCCCCCCACCATCACCCACGCCTCCACAAAACACACGCGAGCACGCGGGTGGGTCTATATAAAAGCTCTGTGCGTCTTTACGCAGCAGAACCAGAACAAGGACGCAGCATCCTGAGTGGACCGGACCTGGAGGACTCAGGACTCAGTTTATTTTTCCCCCTCTCTCGGTCTTGAAGATTTTGGATTTATTTTTGCTCGTGCTGGATGTGGACATCTGTTTGGACTGATTTGGATCTGGAGTAAAATGGCCCACCTGAGGTACCTGCTGGTTCTGGCCTTGGTTAACGCGGTAAGTGTTGTTGCGTTCTTGTTTTGGATTAAAACTCGATCCGAGYGTCTGACCCGGTTCTGCTGCAGGTTCTGTCCTCCGGGGTGTTCGAGCTGAAGATCCATTCCTTCCACACGGCCCAGCGCATGTGCCGGAGACACAGAGACTGTCACATCTTCTTCAGAATCTGCCTCAAACACCCAGAGGACGTCATCTCAGCRGAGCCGCCCTGCACCTTCGGAACCGGACACACTAATGTGATCCGGGCCGACCACACGTCCATCTCCAGCAGTGCTCCCATCAGGGTCCCGTTTCACTTCAAATGGCCGGTAAGTGGACCTCAGAGCAGTTCAGAACCTGCGGGCTGTGGGTCTGGACTCATGGGTTCTCCTTGTTCTCTGCAGGGAACCTTCTCTTTGATCATCGAGGCCTGGAACACCGAGTCTCCAACAGAATACACAGGTACGCTTCCAGCCCTCAGCTCACCTTCACACCTGTGGAGCAGACACTAAAGACCCTCCTCTCCCCTCAGATAACCACAACAACCTGGTGAGTCGCCTGGCCACCAGGCGGAGGCTGGCCATCGGGGAGGACTGGTCCCAGGACGTCCACTTCGGGGAGCAGAGCGAGCTGCGCTACTCCTACCACGTCTTCTGTGACGAGTTCTACTTCGGGGACGGCTGCGCGGACTACTGCCGGCCCAGGGACGACACGCTGGGCCACTACACCTGCGATGAGGAGGGGAACCGCGTCTGTCTGCAGGGCTGGAAGGGAAACTACTGCTCTGAGCGTGAGTCCGACACCCGGGTCCTGCCCCAGTGCCCACAGGCAACAGGTTGTCTGACTGAGACATGGGCAGACAGACCCGAGTTTATCTGAACATAAAACAACCTGTAATCTGGGTCCATTAGAACAGGATTAATACAGACAAACATGAAGACAAAGAACCTTCAAGGTGTTAAAACCCAGAAAAAACCCCCATTTAATTAAAAGCAGAGAAAACAGTTTATTAAATAAATAATTAGAATCATTGGAGACATGATGATCATCAAATATTATTGGTTTTGATATAAATACAATTTTGATCTAAATCCATCCAGAAAACAGATTATTTCAGATTATAAAACATCCATCCATCCATCCATCCATCCATCCTCTATACCCGTTTATTCCTTTCAGGGTCACTGGTGCCCATATCCAGCAGTCACAGTGCGAGGGGTGGGGT